GGCATCTGACATTTGAAACAGTGAATTTTGTTCGGTTCGTTACGTCGCGCGTTGGGGCGGTTTGTGGCCTGTGAGTGCGATTGTCGTGTAACGTTTCCTTGGTTTGTGACAGGTACATATTTCCACTGGACGCAATAACATGACACTGCATACTTTGTTGACTTGGGTGGGTTTTCTATCTGTTCACAACTAAATTCGTATTGTGTCACGCCATTGACTTCTATGAATTGAGACTCTGCACGTTTCGCCGCTTCCAACAATGTACTGAATGGAATCTTGTTTGAGCTTTGTGTCCTTTGAATGTGGTGCAGGTCAGAAAGCAAAATAGATTTTATGCCCTTAGGTAGATTTCGTCGGAAATGAGCTGTAAGACCTTCTTCTGCCATGGGAATACTAATACTGCAGCGTTCGTGTAATTCACGCAACCTGTTGGAAAAGGTGTTGACATTGTCGCCACGAACAAACTTAGCAGTGTAATATTGGTCATGCCACATCTGTTCCATGCTAGAGCTTACAAACGTGTCGAGGAACTGCTTGCAGAATGAGTTTTCCGCCATTTTACTTCCACCGTCCGTATTTCTCCAACATGTCATGGTAGCGCTGCTCAAGTGGTACCATTCTAGAGCGCGTTCTTCTAGATATAGTCGTACGTAGTGTACCATTTGTTCCTCCTTTATGTTTCTGAATCTTGCATTTGACTCAAAGGTTTTCAACCACTTGATAGGATCTTCATGTGGTATACTACCATTGAAACGGAATACATCGGGATCAGCGTGGAGGTAGTTAGAACGGCAACAAGTAGCGTTGAATAATTGATCATTTGTGTGTTGCGCGTTACGAGTGGTGTGATGTTGGTGAGGGCTATCACTGTGCCCGTTTGACGAAGTAGTGTCCTCCTGCTGTGGATCCGGCTCGTTCCTAACAGAAGAAGCTCGTGATTTACCGGTTACACTTCCTTCGTTGTTGACAGCCCGTGTTAGATGGTAGAGGTCTGGCATCTCAGCAATTGGTATTGACTTTACACGGCACAATGAGTTAGTTGCACCACAATTAAAAAACGCTTCCACTTCCTCCCATTCTTGATTGTACGCTATGAATGCGATAGAGTAAGCTATGGACGCTAAGAACCACTTAGTTGTGTCCGTATTTTGCTGCTTGCTATACCTATTAAGCCCATTGTGTATGGCATTCACTGCTTCGTCCAGCTTGTTTTCTCTCTGCTCTGTTTGGAAGAAGTCATACCATCCGCGGATAAATGGGAGAGGCTGTGAATCATTCGTGGCACCAGGGTGATACGCTTCATTTTGCTGACGCGGAAGTTGGGGTGGTGGTTGGTGCGTATCGAGTTGCACAGAATGAGGTGGTGATTGGTGTGTATCGAGTTGCACAGGATGAGGTGGTGATTGATGTGCAGTCTCCTCCAAAGTTTCCTGTATTGGAGAAGTTGGCGCTACTTCGTATGTTGCTTGTGGGTATGTATTCATGGGCAATGAAGCGTCCTCGTTGGCTGAATCATGGTCGGATTGAGGGCTTGGATCATGACCAGGAGTGCTTCTAGTACTCATTCTCCGTGAAGTTGACATACTGAAGGAGCTAATAAGATAAATAAAAGGATAATGATAGTAATAATAATAATAATAATAGGAGTAGAATGAAATGAACTAATAAGAATATGCGGTATACGGGCTCGTGGATTATGACTAAACCCGAGGTGTGCTCGCCATATGTTAGCGTAAGCAATAAACGATGAGGTCTTTGACCTGGAAAATCAATTTGAAGTTATTGTAACTAACTCGAATAAACAAATAATCATATAAACAAAAAGAAACAGTGGTGTAAGTCCGTCTACACCACAATAATCTAGCAAATACAAGTCCGTCTGTATTTGCTATTAAAGCTAAAGAAGCTAAACTAAACTGAATAAAGGGAAAGAACGCTTGATGCTTTATTTAATAATGAGTAGGTAATCATATTTATAGTGGGATTAGTGAGACAAGTGTAACATATTTGTATGTTAACTTGTCGTATTCATAACAATATATTTATATCTATTAATTGTGCATCTGTTTATTAGTTGGGCTTTCGCCCAAGCGTAAATGGTTAAAGAAAACAGCACGTACATGTCCAATGTGCGGTGCCTGTGCTCTAATGCAAACGAGAGTTGACCAGCGTTTATCGTTGTTCTTTATTCCATTATTTCCAGTAAGCAATCTCCAGTGTAACTCGACGCTAACTAACCTGTACACGAATAATAACAATAATACATAGATAGTACGTGGCCATCGTGCATGGATATGTCACCGGTGTGGCTACGTAGATCGACCTGGTGCGCGTGTAAATCGTAATCGAGCAGTATTCCCAGTCACGGTGCAAGGTCAGGCAGGACCGCCACCAGCATACGTTCCAGACAAGAATGAAAGAGCACTGGCAGAACCATCCACCATGAAGCATAGCAAAGATTTGGAAACATTAGAGAACGAATTGGCTATGGATCATTGCGATGCTTGTGGTGCAGCCATCGGATCCTCCAACTGGCGATTCTGTCCTCGTTGTGGCCGAGAACGGTAAAATGGATTGTATTCGCACCTTATGTAATTAGGTATGGTGCACATCAGCATCAATACACATTTGTCGCTAACATTATTAGATAGATTATAATGATAAGCGGTCATCGAGATGTCGCGGCATATTTGTTTATAGCCATTGAAATAAAGTATTCAATATTACTAGTCTATTAATAATGACTTTGCACAACTGTTAACATCATTAATTAAATAGATTGTTTATTAATAAATGTATAGAATTTTGTAATGCAATGCTAATAACTTTTATTAATGCCATTCTTTATGATTATTTCCTCCTATCTTTCCCTTACCTTTTTGTTAATGTTCCCATTAGTAAGTTTGTTACCTTTTATTCCTTTCACTTTCCTCACTATCTCATCTCCCCTTCGTTCATTTGTTTATTCGCTCGTTCAATAATCACGTAACAATTACCGTAACACATAGACGATAGCAATGCTCGTTAACACACACACACTCGTCTATTGCTTTTTATTCTTTTATTCGTCCTCTGACAACACATACACCACTACAACTCATGCTTTTCCTCTTACTCCACCTTCGTTTACAGTCATCTACAGGCTACGCTTAGCTGCAAGCGTATACTACTTGTCTTTGTGTTGTTCTCGGTCGGTCGTCTTATTCCCGTCTAGTCTGCCGCTTTGCCACTGACTACTTGTCGAATATGTTGATTGTATGTCGCGTACTCGTATTTTGTATCGCTACTCGTCGGCAGCCTCACTCCAATCTGTATATTCTGTCATAAGCACACTTTGCTCTTCACGCTGTGTAGTAATTGGTTCTTTATTCGTTGTCGATCAACGTGGCATATACCCCACTGGGTCTTTCATGCTGGTCTATCCTCTATTCAGTTCTCTCTTTCTCGCTCCCTTGTCTACTTGCTTGCGACACTCCCTTGCCCTCACTCGTGTATATCTATTATTTCATGTCGTGTCCTTTGTTCACGTCGTTTGCTTGCCGCGTTGTATCACTTTATTCGCGTTGACTTGCTGATCTTTGCTTGTAGTATGTGGGAACACGTACGCATACGTAACACTCGCGCTATGCATTAGGCACCACACTTGCTTGCCAGCATACAACGTCTCCACTCGCTGCTTTGCATTATTTACTCGTGCTTTATAAATATATGCAAGTACGTGGTACTCGTGTTAATTACTAGCCAGTGCTGTTTGTTCTTCTGATTGCGACATGGATACGTAACGAACACTACGCCCTCTACTCGTGTGTTGTGAAAGTACGCGTACATACATAATATCCGCGCTAACTACTACCCATCACGTCGCTTAGCATTTTGTATTTGTAGTGGTACTGTCTGACATTGTATTGCATATTGTATATGAGCCGAGGAAATCCTATATGATGGCTATATCTTTATTTGCATAGTATATATCAATAACTAACATGACACTAGTAGAGGGTAATAACGGCATTTGTACATCCATTCATTGATCACTAGCATGGTATTACAGGTCTTTTCCAACCGATTAATACTGTTAGTCATTACCATTTGTTCTTATTACTAAATAATCTTGCACATTCATTAGCACCATTATTATTACTGAAGTCGATATATAACATTAGTGTCTGTGTACGTCATTAACGCTCTCTATAGTACATTCGCCTTGTAATACCTATTAATCGTGTTCATTATATGACTGCGTATACAGTATCTTAGTGTTATACATTGAACATCGTATGCTTATAAATATGATACTTTATTAGCATTCTATATAAAACATTATATCTATTGACTCTATCCTACATTGTAGCGTATCGATGATAACTTGTTTTTCTTTTCACTAGGTAATAACTCGCATTGACGATGTGCGTACCGCTATGTGAAGTAGCGCGATATATTGGCTCATTTTACCGTGATATATCAAAACCAAGTAATTAACCATAGAGTATTATAACATGGACATGCTATTCTCTGCTTTAATGGCCTAGCAACATGCCCATTAACAATAATATTGGTTCTATATTGCACAATCGCTCGTTAATTTAAAATCGCGCCTTTTTTTTTTTTTTTTTCTTGTTAGAACATATTTGGCTATATGCCGTCTTTTATTATAAATGAATAAACCAGGGTTATAATAACAAACAATTGACAAACAGCCCAATGCCCACGGAATGGAAATGTGTCTTGCGAGTGCAGACCACGGTTGTGTAGCAGAAAACCAACTAGCATATAGTCGGTAGGTTAATAAATGTCAACATTTCTGTTAACTAGTTAGAAATGATACCTTTTTCCCTATGACGGGATTGGCAGGAATCGAACCCAGGACCTATTCGTCCGAGAAATAGAGCGTAACCACTTGGCTACAACCCCAATTTAAAATCGCGCCGGACGCAGCGATTTTGGCGGTAAAAGGTGCATTTGCCGAGTGTGGTTCCTTTTTTGGCAAAAAATTTTGGTGCGCTCCCGTAGCTCAGCTGGTTTAGAGCGCCGTGCTTATAGGATATAAACTATACCAAAGTCACGCGGATGTCGCGAGTTCGATCCTCGCCGGGAGCAGCGTTTTGCTCCAGAAACGTATTTTTGTTAAACTTGCAAATACAGTTGTAATGGCATAGATATCTATGTAGCGTGCTTTACATTTTAGCATAGAGTAGTGTACGCAAATTAGTTGTATCTGCGGGCTTTATTTCGATCGAATTGCATTGTATAGTGCAATCAACCGTGGTTATTGTCATTACCAAATACCAAAGGTATTTACGTCACATAAACTTGCCTGTATTCTTTCCGTGCAATCAGTATTTTATTTAATTAATATGCTGGCGAAGGCAATACGTATCAACATAACAATGATATAGGCCAGCAGCCTACCGATCTGTCTGACAACTAATATGGCAATGCAGTCGAGGTAGCTACGTGGATATATTTACATTGACAACAGGCGAATTAATCGATCGACCACTTGATGGTATAGGCATGACATGTCGTCGTTTACTTTTTGTTATAAAGCATAGATCATACATTGTATTACAAGTAGCACGCAGAGAATGTCAATATATCGGATGGTTTATACGCAATCAACCCTACGCGAATTGTATGGCCTACTTCGATTAGTGTGCATCACATATTATCACTAGAATATAACTTGGAAATATGTGTGGAAACAAAACTGGACTGTTGTTCTCCTTCCCCAATTTCTAATCTATAGTAGCACCGACTTTTTTCTTTTGTAACATTGTCAAGCTTGCTGAAGCGTTGTACCCATCATTACCGTTGGATCGTCGCCACGCTCGTCTCCTAGTACTTTGTTGTTGTTGTGCGCTATCAAGTACAGTTGCTTGCCCCCCTGCACGTGGGTGCAGCACGTAGTCACGCTTTATCTTGTATTTTCAGAGTCGCACTTGTCGTCAAACGTATACTTGTCTGCATTTCTCCCGTTATTTACTCGTCGCGTTGACTTGATTCTACCCCATTAGGCCGCAACAGCAATGGACCTCATCAAGGTGTCCAAGGTAGATGATGATTCAATTAGCGCGCCAGTGCGTATATATAAATTGGCTAGACTCACACTTTGTACGAACTGTGTCGTACGAGCTAGGTAGAGAATGTTCGTTTAGACCGAGGAAACAGGCAACATACGGGCTCGCTACACGTTCTTACGCACCATCTCATCTTTCGACAAGCCAAAGAGGAACTATGGGTAGGTAGAGATACTGGAATACTATGGCTAGGAATATGGAATACTAATCTATACTATAGATTCCTTATCCGCTATTACACACTGTAGAACGACTACCTATCAACGATGAAGATCTTTATCCATTGCGTATCCGCTGCCATCACTTTCTATTCGTCTCCTTAAATTTTACAACGGAGGAGCAAGCGGTTGACGTATTCGAAATGATGCAAAAGCTAACATGTATTAGTAAGTAGTCGACTGTCGAGACATACTGTATAAACACATTATGCTAATACGCGAATGCCAGCCAAGATCAATCAATTCCACGCATTTTATTATCAACCAACACCGCAATGGGATAGAGAGGAGGGATGGAAGCGATATGATCCGGTACGCGAGTACAATCGCATGGGTGTCAATACGCTATCTAACAAGTGGAGGTTTACAGAGAAGAACACCAATTATGAGGTAAGAGGCTTGCTAGTCGTTTAACGTGTAGTCACTAAATGACTTTCCAATCTAGTTATGTCCCACCTATCCTCGATGTCTAGTAGTTCCCGAGAAGATCAGCGATGTAACACTGGAACATGCAGCTAAATTCCGTAGTAAAGGTCGAATTCCCGTGCTATCCTACTTGCATCGACCAACCATGGTAAGTAGTAAGAAATATGCTAAGCACAAGTGCTGTATAATGAATGGTGCACGCTTGTTTAGACGACCATTTCGCGATCAAGTCAGCCGATGGTAGGACTACGACAAAGTCGATCGGTACAAGATGAAAAGCTAGTCGAGGCTATTTTTACGAGTGAACGCAATGATGCCAGTGCGGCAACAGGAACGCAAAATAGAAATCTGATTATAGATGCACGACCCACTGCCAACGCCATGGCTAATGTAGCAATGGGTGCAGGCAGCGAGAATACCGAGAATTATCGTAAATGTCGCAAGCTTTACCTAGGCATCGATAACATTCATGTAATGAGAGACAGCCTAAACAAGATTGCTGAAGGTAAGCAGAGTAGTGGCGATGAGAGCGATAACAACGATGCTGGATAGTGGTGGCTATTCCAGAGATAATGAGCAATAGTCACGGTTTATGTATTCATGTCGTTGTTATGATAGTCTACGCCTATCGCTATTGCAAACAGTATTCTAACTCGATCCTATGTGATTCTATGCTTGCCTGTTCGTGTTGCTGCATCGCCTGGATGTGGTCGCGTCCATTGTGTCGTTCATTTACGCGTCATTATCGTACCTTGACTGGACGTAAAGCGATATCATCCACGGATACAAGCGGCATTGTTAACAAGATACAGCTATCGAAATCGAATTGGCTACGACATATTCAGCTATTGCTGGACGGAGTATCGAACATTGTGCGTACGGTACACCATGATCGTGCGCATGTGCTAGTCCATTGTTCCGATGGCTGGGATCGTACAGCGCAGTTGACAGCGCTCGCTTCACTTTGTCTTGACCCTTATTATCGTACATTGGAGGGATTCGCCGTCCTAGTAGAGAAGGAGTGGTGCTCATTTGGACACAAGTTTACCGATCGATGCGGTCATCTCACGCATGAGCGTGATTTCCAAGTAGCATCGGGTGCACAATCATCGGCGGCAGAGGCTACACTAAGCTCGATCCAAACTCGTTTACACCAGCAGTCGTCGCATGTAAGAGAATCCTCGCCTGTATTTCACCAATTCCTCGATTGTTGTTATCAGCTATGGACGCAAGCACCATGGCGATTCGAGTTTAATGAACGTTTCCTAATTGCCCTCCATTATCATGCGTATGCTTGTCAATTCGGCACATTCCTATGCAATACCGAACGGGAACGATATGAACTAGTGCGTGAGCACACCTACTCGGTTTGGCCTCATCTTGACTTGCGTCGACATGAATTCCTCAATGATATCTATGATGCCGCACGCGATCAAGAAATGGAGGAAGGCATCATCATCCCGGATACTAATTACCTCAAGTACTGGGCTAGTCTATTTGCTAGACGGGATGAAGAGGTGAATGGCGGGTTGGCCGACGAGATAGCACTGACGGAAACCGTTAAACAGCGATCTACATCGGCGGCAGCGGCAGCTACAGCTTCCATGGCCAAATCTGCTGCTGCTGCCATGGCCGGTGTTGTATCCGTGTTCAGTAATGGTGGATCATTACCGGCGAATCCTTTGATTCCTACTAATGAGCCATTAGCTACTGAGGATACAATAGTCACTGCAACATCGACTGCTATTGTAGCATCATCGGTAGAAGAGGAGACAACAACATCTACCGGTGCTGTTTCACCCGGACAATCACATCGAGTATCACTCTCCTCTAATGGAAATAACAACGAAGCATCTACATTAAACGAGCGTTTAATTACTGAACAAATGTCAACTATTACTCTAGCAACACATCCACTAGCAGAACCGTCTAACCAAGAAGAACTACCGTATGCGCGTGATCCATTTGTGGCAAATATATTATTTGCAAGTAGTCGATCGACAAAATCACCACCTACCTCCTCCTCTTCCCATACAACAGAGCACCATCCCTACGACACTAAAAGTAACAAGGTAGCCGGTGCAACATCGCACTACTACGATCCTCTTGAAAAAAATCCATGGCTATGAATTAATACACCTCTATCTACATCTGCTAATAGGATACTAATTGCGATCTCAACTATATGCTAAACTAGCCCATTTTATTAATACATTTACATATTTACTTAGTGCAATGTTAATACGCCCTCCTATTAATCATGTTGGTAAATGAACTGTTTATTTCTCTATTCAAATCACAAGTGAAAGTCTACCATGTTACAATGCCCGAGTGCTTGGAATGTCGCAACAACAGACCAATGTATGGGCACTGCAACAAAGATTCAACAAAGTGCCGGTTATATATAGTGTGATAGACCAATTAGGAAATGGCTTCTCATCAAACCAGTAATGGGAAAGGGTGAATGTGTGATAGGCATCATTGGAAATCGTTGATTCTTTTAATCTCCACTTGTGAAGGTTGTTACAATATCCCATCCTACTAAGCTGAAAACGCTACTCTTGTTACCTCTTGTTGTTCCCGTTGTTGTTATCCTTCTTCTTGTTGTTATTTAGGAGTTGCCACTACTGCGATATACACGTAACGTGATATCCTCCTGGCTAGTACTCGAATACTCTGTAATACTGTTCAGTTAGTTTCTTTGCTATATACATTGTAGTAACTTGTTTCCACTTGTGAGCGCACACATTCGTCGTAAACACTTAGTCGAGACCACATCCGCACGCTTACATATATATATATATATACACACGCACACACATATACATCATGACCATTGACGGTAGCAATAGTGACGAACACGCGACACCCAAATACGCGTGGGCAACGCTACTTACGCGCGACAGTTATTTGGCAGGCACTCGGGTGTTGTGTCGATCCCTGCAGAATGCCGCGACACGCTACCCACTCGTGGTGCTCTATACGGACACGTTGAGCGAGAGTGCCGTCGAACTGCTACGTCAGGATAACGCCGTCCTAAAACGCATCGAGCCCATTTCGAACGAGGATATACCGTTGCCGGATGTTGAACAGCATCTATGGTCGCACTACTACGACACATGGACGAAGCTACGCGTGTGGCAGTTGACCGAGTATGAGCGTGTCTGTTTTCTCGACTCGGACATGGTGGTGCTCCGTAATATGGACGAGGTGTTTAGCGCGAGTATTGGCGATGAAGCAACCGCATTCGAGATTGCCGCGGCCCATGCGTGTACATGCAATCCGCTGAAGATTAAAGGCTATCCCGCTACATGGACGCCCGAGAACTGTGCCTACACGCATCAATGCGCGCATTGCGTGGGACAATCGCCACCCT